CAATGGTAATGGAAAATTCAACTCCTTAAATCAGGAGTTCCATGTCTGGGGCCTGAGCCCAGGCTCTCAGAGAAGGGAGGTAACTGTCCACCACTCCTGTTAACATTCCTTTGCTAATTGCTGGTTTTAAAGGTCCCTTTCCAGTAGTAAAGATCTCTCAGCCCTGGGGATAGCTGACAGACCCCATGATCCCGAAAGCCTGTAAGCCCATGCCCTGTCTTATCTTACTCAAAAGTATATTGCTTAAAATATATAGTTACCGCTTGACTCTGTACTTTTAGGACCTTAAGTAGCCATGGAAACCCTGAACTTTGTGGCCTTCAACCTTATGGTCTGCCCCTTTAAAAGCTTCTCTTTTTGGATGGTTATCTTCTCATTTCCTCTGCCATGGAAAGAGATCCAGCTGGCCAACTTGAACAATAAATGAAACCTTTTGCTTTTTCATCAGTGTTGACACCTTGGGTCAGTGTCTGGGATTCTGCAAACCTGGCACAACAAAAGTTCAAGGCCAGCATGGTCTACAGAGAAGAGTTTCTTGATACCTAGGGCTACACAAAGAAACCCTGTCTGGAAAAACCAATAAATAATAAATACATAATAAACTAAGAAAGAAAGGCAGACAGGCAGGCAGGCAGGTATGTTCTGTTTGCTAAAGATATAACTGGCTTGACCAGAAACATGCCAATCTCAGCTTCTGTAAAACTTGCTGAAGTCTGGAAAAATCTCCTTTGGGGTGGGGATGAAAAGAACACCCTAAGGTTATGAGAATGCCTAACCCCCTGCAAACCATGAGTTATTTCTGTTCAAATGTGGTCTGGAGGGTCACTGGGCCGAGGCCTGTCAGAACCCTCATAAACCACCCAGACCATGTCCAAGGTGCCATCAAGAAGGACAGTGGAGTGTTGATTGCCCCCATGTCCCTTATGACATGAGGACATCAACCCGAGATCACCTTTCATCTGACCTCCTTGGTCTGGTCATGAATGACTGAGGAGGCCTGGACTCCCTTGGCCTGACCACCACCATCTCCAACAGGGAGCCTCAGGTAGTTATCACAATATCAGGGTGATTCATCTCCTTCCTTCTGGACACCAGAGCCAGTTTTTCAGTCCTGATGAAGTTCTGGGGACCCACCACTCCTTGTATCTCTATTGTTGGAATAGGGGAACAGCCTTAGCAGGCTCACCAAACCCCACCACTTAGCTGTATCTTTAAGGGTACCCCCTGTACCCATTCCTAGAGATATCAACCTGTGTCATCCCATAGTTGGGAAGGGACCTAACTAAAATAGGAGTCTTTATTTCTTTTGTTCCCCCCATCGCTTGACCCCAGGCTCATCAGCCGTTCCCCTTCTCCTCCAAACCACATGATCTGTACACTTCTACCCTTACCAACCTCTCAGGTAGATCCTCACCTATGGAACACACCAAACCTCTCTATAGCCAAACATCACAACCCTGTAATCGTCTGACTATAAAACCCCGCCAAATATATAACCAAGGCTCAATACCCACTTTCACTCCAAAGTCTCGGGGGACTTAAACTTCCCCCGAGATTGTGACTTCCTACAATCTCCTGCACCCCACTTCTTTCCCCTTTAACACCCCATACTTGCAGTTAAAAAAACAATGGAGCCTACCACTTGGTTCAGGATCTCTGCCTTATCAACTCAGCATTAGTTGTCTTTTACCCTTAAACTCTCCTCTCCACCATCCCCTCAGAAACCTTTCATTTCTCTTCAGTGACCTCAAGGATGCCTTCTTTTCTACTCCTCTGGACCCCCCTGTCACAGGATATCTTTGCCTTTACTTGGACTGACCCAGACACACACATTTCTACCCAACTCACCTGGACAGTCCTATTTCTGAGAGAAATAAGAGAACGGATGAGGCAGCTAGAGCTGCGACTCTCAGGGCACTGGGTCCCTATCACATGCCACAGGGCACTCTATTTTATAGCCCATGCTTCCATCATCATCTCCAGGTACTCAACAAATTTTAGCCTGTCCCTAAGAGTCAGGCTTTGTCCCACTTTATTAAAACCTATTTACAGTCTTATCTCCGAGGATCTAAGGACTATTACTATTTCTTGGAAAATTTGTCAAACTTCTAAGCCTACCTCTAGGCATCGGAGTCTCCCTTTCCCCACTCATCAAGCCAGGGGATCCCTCCCTGGATCAGACTGGCAGCTCAACTCTTAATGCTTCAGATACGGTTTTTCCCAGTGGATACCTTCTCAGAATGAGTAGAAGTTTTTCTCACCACTAGTAAAAGATGACAATTTCTGATCTCCTTTTTAGGTGTTCCAACCTCCTTTCAATTGGATAATGACGCTGAATTTACCTTTCAAATTCTAAAAGCATTGGCCAAAGCCCTTAGCATCTCATATCTCCTACCATCCCTAGTCTTCAGGCAAAGGTGAACAAACTAATCATTCCCTCAAAAATATTCTTATCACACTTCTCAAGAACTACATACAGATTGGATAAAACTCCTGCTATTGGCTCTACTCTGACTAAGAGCCCTTCTAAAGAAGCCCTCCCAATCCCCTTTTTTTTGACAATACTGATCACCATCCTTGTCATACCACCTCTTGTCAGACCTTAATCTCTACATATCAGTTATTGAATAATGCCTTGCCTAACTGCTTTGAAGAACGCTTGTTGTGTGTGCCTCCTGGGCCAAACTCACAACTATTTGTGGCCTTATCCAATGTCTTATCAGAGTTTCCTACCTTGCCACTTGTAAACTGCTCTGAGTCAAACATTACTACCATCCTTTATCTCTCCCACATCTCTGTCTTCAGTATGGCAGACTGCTTTAACTCCCCAGGAACACACCTTGCTTGCACTCTGGATTCTGCAGATTGCAATAATACCACAATGCTTAGTACTACCACACTGCCCCATGTCCAAACATTCACAGTACTTTGCAATTCTCTGTGACACACAAGTATACCATTGACCACCCATCAGGGACCTACACTCTGGTGTTCCTTTTCCCTAAATGAGGGGTGGTACCTGGTGAAGAGCCCCTCGTCAATTCTCATCACAGAATTTATAGCAGCATGGCTTGACAAAGGAGCAATTCAGGTCATATCTCTTCTGGCAGCCCTGATCATAATTGCAGGTATAGCCACTGGAGCAACAGGACTGACTACTTCCTTAAATATATACCATATGCTTTCCTCGCAATCCATCCAGGATTTCCAGCAGGTAGCTCAGACTATCCTCACCCTTCAGGCTATCGAGAAGGTTGCTTCTGTGTTAGCCAACCAGGCATAGTAAAAGATAAGACTCAGCAACCTCAGAGAGACCTTCACAAACTAAAGGAACAGCTTGATGCCTCTGGCCAGTGGATCACTGATAGTCTAATAAAGAACTGGATGCTACCTTTCTGAAACCCTCTTCTCTCACTTTTCTTAATCCCACTAGTCGCACCCTGGCTTACAAACTTCTTGTCTCGATCCCAACAAGTTCATAGGGTTTCTAACCAGACTTTCAACCAGTTGCTGTTGCAGGATTACCAGTCCCTTGCTACAGAGCCAGAGAGCTGAAACACCTGGAAACATTCAAAAAGAAGATGAAGACTGTCCCATGAACCTCGATGCCCCAATTCAGCAGGTAGTAGTCCAATGATAACACCGACCCTTTTCCAAACCCCAGTTGTTTTATTAAACAAAAAAGGGAGGATGTAGTGAAAAGGGTCCAACCAAAGAAACACACCCAGAGCAGAGCCAAAGAAACATACTTTGGCCCTGCAACCAGAACCAAAGAAATGTACCCTGACCCTAAAACCAGTGCCAAAGAAACACACTTTGTCCCTGGAATCAGAGTCAGTGAAAGAAACACACCCTGCCCCTAAAATTGCAGTCAAAAGGCTAAAAAGGACCAGAGAAAGAAACACACTTTGCCCTGAAACCAGAGCCAAATCTGACCCTAACCCTGTGCAGAAAACTAACCAATCATTAAGCAGATCTAGCCATCCTAAATTAAGGGATTGAAATCTGACCGTTCCCCTCCCTGGAAAAACTCCACCAACTAAGAAGCCCTCTATAAACTCTGTGTTTGCTCTGCTTGGGGCTGTTCGCGCTCTGCTGGGTTCTTCCCTCCCAAAAAATCTCTTGAATGAGGTTTGGGTGAGACCTTCTTTCACCGGAGTAGAGATGACCCTGGGTAGAGCAGAGCAGAGCAGGGCTGTAAGACTTTTTACTGGGGTAAGCATTCCCCTGACAAACTGAAGTTGTTACACTCTCCTGGGGAATGGAGCTGAACTGTAACATCTTCACCAGGGAAAGCCTCCCCTGACAGAGCCGAGCTGATACACTGGGGAAGCCTCTCTTTGAAACAGGGCTGTAGGCTGCTATGCTTACTGTGACCTGTGACATTCCTGACCTCCAGAGGAACAGCATACCTTTCTATCCAAGCTGTAACACCCAGTATTCTGTGACTCCTGAGTGCCAGAATGCCTTTCCATCCAAACTGTAACACTCAGTATTCTTTGGTTCCCAAGAGCCATAATGCATCCCTTTCCACGCCATCTGATCTGTTGAAATGGTTACAGTGGCACCATTCCTGAGCTACACCCACTCCATCCCATATTCCCATCCCTGTAAAGATACACTGTGAGCGGAATATAAAGTGGGAGATGTGAGGCAGAGAGGTGTGTGTGTGTGTGTGTGTGTGTGTGTGTAAATGTGTGAGAGAGAGGAGACTCTGTGTGTGAGAGAGACAGACAGAGACAGAGAGACAGAGAGGAAAAGAGAGTGTCACTGTGTATGTCTGAGTGTGTTTTTGCGTGTGAGAGAGAAAGAGAGAGAGAGAGTGTGTATGAATGAGGGAGAGGCACAGGAAAGAGAGAGAGATAAAGATGGGGGGCGGTTAAGTATCAGTCAGCACAAAAACCAATCTAAGGGAAACCACCATGTACTCAGAGATAGGCAGATGAGTAGGGGACACGTGCCTACTTCCTCATTGTTTTCAAACTTTGCCCAGGACTCTGACTCATTGCAAGTAGTGGTCATGACCCTATTGGTTCACCAGGAAGAGTCCCTCCTTCTCTCCTCAGATTTAAGTCACTACCTAAGCTTACCAGCTACCAAGACATCTCAACATGTTGGGTTGGTAGCCCTCACCCTACTGTGGGTTGGGAACTGGGCTCCCTGACACAAACCCACCAACAACTCACTGACATCAGTCAACTCTAATCTCTTCTCCCCTCCCCATCTCTCCCTAGGTGTGATCATCGGTGCTGCATTAGGAGGAGGTATGTTTCCTGCACCTGCTGGGAGGCTGTGGGAGCTTTGTGCTTGGCTGTGGGCCTTACCCCAGCTCTTGCCTTCTGCTGGGCTGCCTGAGTGAAGCACCAGGGCCAGAGCTGTGCTCACTCAGTCCAAGGATGAACTTATGGTTTCCTGCCTAGTTTCTCCTTCAGGCCTTATAAATGCTGAGAAAAAAGTAGAGAATTTATTGAAGGAAGGGGGTGGGGGGAAGCAGCTCCTGAAACTTCAGTAGTTAATTGACACATGAGAAGCTTGAGGCCCAGTGGAGGATGATGACTTCCCAGTGTCACACACCTTGGTAAGACCATGGCTCTGTCAGATCCTCCACTGACCTCCTTGCCTCCACCTGGCTCCCTATCCTATTGTTGGAACCCTTCCCCTGATGCCCAGAATAGAGAGACCCCCTCAAACAGTCCAGGAATTCTTGAGTGTGACTTCCCCTGAGTCCACACTACCCAACTCCTTTCCCCACAGCTGGAGCTGTCGTTGCTGCTCCCGTAGTCCTGGGTGCTGTGGGCTTCACTGGGGCAGGAATTGCAGCGGGATCCATAGCAGCCAACATGATGTCAGCAGCAGCAATCGCCAATGGGGGTGGAGTTGCAGCAGGAAGCCTGGTAGCCATACTGCAGTCTGTGGGTAAGTGCCAGTCCAGGCAAGATGAGTGGAGACCCAACCAAGGAAGGCATCTCCCTTCCTCTCCCTACACTGCCACCTTTTATAGGACCTGTTTATTCTAGTTCTGTCGCTACTATCTGATTCATTGTGAGTGCGGTTGGGGTGTGGTGCAGACAGAAGGGGCACTGGATGGCAGAAGCAGGGAGGAGCCCTGGTCCAAGATGCATGTTACCTGAGCTCTGAATCTTCCCTACATGGGTGTCCTTCTCCAGTGTGTCCCTCTCAGTCCTGCTATGTGGAGGGGACATTCCTCTCTGGAGATCTCTCCCTCCTGTATCTCAGTTTATACAAATCTGTCTTCTTCTTGTCTACTTTGAATATCTATATCTAAAGGAGACCCCTGAGGTTCAAAAAATGCAGTGGGGCATATATAAGCCTCAGGGCACTGAGTGTCATGGCACTGTCTCTTTTCCAGGGGTTGCTGGACTCTCTACATCATCCAACATCATCCTGGGCTCTGTTGGGGCTGGCTCTGTTGGGGCAGCTCTTCTGGCCTTGCTTTGAACTTACTGATGACACTTCTGCAGTTGAACCTACTGCCTATAAGGAATATCCAGAAGACAGTGTACCACATGATGATCCCCATATCCATCACTGAAGTCAGAGAAAGATGAAAAATAAAGGTTATATGCTTGTATGCCTGTCTTTGCTTGTGGTGACTCTTTTAGGGACTTGTGGACTGGGAGTTTCAAGTCTTCATGTTTCCTAAGACAGACTCAGGCAGGAGATCAAAGGGAGGTGACAGATTGGTCAGCTCATTCAGTGGAATGAAGGCTTTAGGTGGTCCCTGCCTTAGTGAAGATGGTCTCTGTGACATGGTGACTTTTCAGGTCTTTATGTACCTCATTTGTTACAGGTTAAAGGTTGGGCTAACAGAGGTTGCTATCCTGGGATAAAGGTGAGAGATAGCCTAGACTATTGACCCCAGAGTTCTTGGTCCTTCTTCATCAATGGTTCTGGATGTGCAGGGCTATGAGCAGCACATAGCTACCCCACTGTACCAGGGATGCCCTGGGCTAATCTAGTGCCTTGGGAAGGAGATCGAATCAAAAATGGTCACCACCACACAATGTGTATAAAATTGAAAATGAGCCTGAAATTCCTGCCTTACGTCCTGGGACCCTGACCACAACTCACCCAAGGTGGGAGTCATCACCCATGTGATGCAAAATGCAGTGTTGCACAGAGTCCACAATGACACAAAGGGCTTTGAGGCAGGAGGATTCTGGCATTTGTGAAAGAATTTTGTCATAGGACACTGTGTACTGTGGTAAGAGGGACCAGGCACTTTCAGGTAATACAGAGGCTGGGATCTGATCTTATGAAAAGATTTAGTGTAGCAAGCCCCCCAGTGTGTTGGCAGCTATGGCGCTACCCACTTCACAAGGATCCCAGGCTTAGGGCTAAGGATGTAAAATGAAGACAGACAGCAGCTCATTCTTACAAGGAGAACGGCGTTTATTCTTACAATGATGGAGTGTTAAAAACCAAAGGCAGGCATGGTGGAAAATCCCCAAGGTAGAAGCCTACATTCCCAGGGCCCTCTGGCACAGGGTGGGCAAAAAACAGGAATTAGCATTTAGACAAAGGATGGACAGAGAACAGGAGCTTGCATGCATGTGTTACTGGGAGGAGGGGATGAGAATTGTTTAGCTAAAAGCTCCTAGTAACAAGAGGTCAGCAGAACCCCCATGTAGGAAGGGTGCAATAATTTAGAAATAAGGGACATGAAGAGGCATGCAGAAATCTATCAGGGGAGCACACACACACACACACACACACACACACACACACACACACACAGAGAGAGAGAGAGAGAGAGAGAGAGAGAGAGAGAGAGAGAGAGAGAGAGAGAGAGAGAGAGAGAGAAGATTGGGTGTGCATATCTGTTAGCTCAGGTCCAGTGGCTTGGACTGCATGAGTCACTTCCAGGTAAGGATGGAGAGGCTCTGTTGGGTTACTGTAAGGCAGCAGGATGCTAAAGTTTTACAGAATCAGGTGTGGGCTGCTCCCGGAAAAGGGCATGATACTGCGTCATTCAGGCATTGGTTAATCACCCTCTCTAGGGTCCCCCTGAAAAGGACCTCAACATGATAAATGGTGATATGAATGGTTCCTCACACAAAGTCAATTTGTCCACTTCTTTTATTAGCAAGGCTGTAGTGCCCTATTACAGAAACAGGATCAATTGTGTTGAATAGATGGGCAACTGGCCTTTTCCAGGATTCCAGTACCTGAGCTAGGACACCCGCCCCCTTTGAAATCATTTACATAGGACGGGATGCCCTTGTCCCCTTTCCTGGTGTCTCTGACTTCCCCTCTGGGATCTCTTCTATATGTCTCTCTGAGCACTACAGCTACCGCACAGGTCAATCTTTTGCTTTGCATTTTTTCTCTGCACAACCATAATTATTGTTAACTTTTTGATCAATCTCCAGTAATTGAGACCCATTCTTGTCCTCAAATTCTTCTAATTATAGGAGATTTTTTTCTAATACCTGGGCCTGACTGCATGACAAAACTAATACTGGTTGTTCACTGCTTTTCTGGTCCCTCTTGGTTTATAGGAGTGAACATCAGGTGAGGGATACAGCACCTGGTGACAGTTGGTGGTAACAGTGGGCCTGTCCCAGGCTTGGAGTGCAAAACCCTGTACCTGTTAAATTGATGGGAAATGAAGAACCATTTCCCACACTACAAGTGATTTCCTCCATGGCTGATGGTGTCTTAATGAGAACAAATGGAGGGTGACAGGGACTGTACACTGGTCTCCTCTCAGCCTTCAAGGGCTTTTGCCACCAAGACTACGGGTTTCAGGAAACAGCTGCCTCTCCCCTGGCGTTGCCCAGTATAGATTTCCTGAGTATGCTGAAATCACATCCACGACCAACCACAAATCTACCCTCCCACCAACCCCTACCAGATCCTGGATGTGTTTCTGGAAAATTCAGTTCCTTTCAGAGTGGTAAAAATCCAATGCTGTTTGATGACATACTTAGAGATGCAAGGCAACCAATGAAATAAGTTTCGTTTTCCCCAGCTCTCTCCAGGCCTGAAAAATCAACTCTGGATGAAGACACACCCTGGGATCCAAGGTAGCCAATGAGATAGGTTTCGTTTTCCCTGCTCTCTGGTGTCCTGGAAACCCACAGTGGCTGAAGAACAAAGCGGTGGAAGGCAGCCAATCAGATAAGTGTCCTTTTTCCTGCTCTATCTGATCTTTGAGTTGCAATGAATGTCCTACTATTCTGTAGCTGAGGACTTCTGAGTGTTACTGTGTTTGCAATGTATTGTAATATATTACTTCTTTGCCAAGCTTTTTGTTTGTTTCTTTGTTTTAGTTTCATTTCTTTTCTTTTCCTCCCAGCCACGACAGTGATGTGGTAGAAACTTGAAGTAATAAAATAGATGTGTTATGCCCACTCAGAGAAGACCCCAGAGCTTAATGACACCGAATGCAAGTACAAGAAGATCCAACTATTTCCGGAAAACCAGCTAGCTATTTAGGGCTCAACTCTGACTGGAGAGTTGATCCCTGAGCCACAAAAGCAAGGCACTTTTAAAGAAAAACAGGATGGGGGAGGGGGAGTCCCAAGGTTACAAGTCCCAGCCTGCAGGGTTCCCATGGCTATACACATTACTTAGTATACCAGAGGTTATCAGGAGACTTGAAGGCATTGAGAAGATAGGAGGAGGAATCCTGAGGCTATAAGTCTCAGTAGGGTTTCCACAGCTACAGAGATTGCTTTGCACACTAAGTTTTTATATAAAGTTATCTCAAGACAAAGGACCTTGAGAAGACAATGACTGCATTTGGTTAGGTAGAATTAATTGGCACATGTGTGGTCTGGGATTCCATGGCCAGAGCACACCCTAAGATTGTGTGTAAGGGAGTAGCTGCCCATGGGATGCTGTTGCTGCTGTTCGTGGGTCTGAGTTTCTGATCATGTAACCCCCCTCACTTAGTAGAGAAATTTTATTCTTCTTCTTATGTTTCACCAGATGCTATGAAGATTAACTAATAATCTTACTTAGGAAATATTAAGTTACACTAAGTAGAATTTATCTAAAGGAATGCTGCTTTCAATATGACTAGAAGGTATGTGATATATAACCAGGTCTGTTATAGACTGTACAAAAAGAAAGGCTATACCATAAGTGATGTTTAGAGTCCCTGAGAAAGTTTCCAATATTGTTCACCAAGATTGACACCCCTTCCCCAATTAGGCCACATTCCCACAACAACAGGAGACAACCGTGACTCCCATCCCCACACTAAAGAACATCCTCTTAAGGGCAGCTCAAGGAAGCATTGCAAGGTCCCAACTGTCATTGAGTCCTGGTCTGCCAACAAGTCCCCTGACCTCTTATCAGCAAAGGTTTAATTCTGCAAGTGGACCAGATAGACACAGCCCATGGAGAACCAGCTTCTGGGCTGTGGGCAGGCTTTGGAGGAAGAGTACACATTGTTGTAAAACTAACACTTTATTTTTCTATTGAGATTAGGAAAAAAAGAAAAAGCACCAACTTTCCTGATGATTTCACTCTTTATTCCCTCATGTTGAATTCTGTTGTCTCTGTTTGCTCTTCACGGCTTATAACGACCAACAAAATCTTTCAGGCATTACACCTGAAGGTCACATACCATTTTTAAGTAAAAGATAGCAAAAGAGTTGTAATAAACCCAGATAAATAATAGCTAGGAAGAAATAGACTTAAAAGCCAGACATTCTTGGACTGGACACTATTTCTGTTTCTTTACAAAGAGTGATTGTCCAGGGGGAGAGAGGGAGGGAAGGATGGAGAAAGAGAGAGAGAGAGAGAGAGAGAGAGAGAGAGAGAGAGAGAGAGAGAGAGAGAGAGAGAGAGAGAGAGAGAGAGAAGCTGAGCCAACTCAGCTGAGAGGCCCCTGGCACAAGAATTATAGGGCAGGGATTGGGGGGCAGGAGCACAGAAGAGTTCATATGGCACTCTCCAAGGCACGGTGACATTAAAAGTATTTTAATAAACTAAAATGTGTTTTTCCTTCCTGAATGTTACCTGATCCTAGAAAGTGTATCTGGTAACTCTTTGTAGGGGCTGTGAAATTAGTTTATTTTTTGTAGTCCTGGACAGTTAGAGAATCTTCATTCCCAGTGGTGAATGTGAAGAACAGCCATAAAATTGAGGTTAATAATTTGTGCAAAGAGTTATTCAACTGACCTCCCTTATCATCTAGACCTGGCACTGCAATTCAGTTGCTTCAAAGTATTTACCCTGACTCAACAAATCAGACCACTGGCTACTTGTAAATAAGATTGTATTTTTCTGGCAATAGTTTATTTTAAAAACCATTAGCAAGGCACCTGGTCTAATCTAAAGCTACCTTGAAGTTTAAATAAGTACACACTATGTGGCTATCTTGGCATCTGGCGAAATACAGCTGTTTTCTTAAGCTGTACTCCAAGACAGTTCTTAATGGGAACTTACAACCCTGAGTTTGGCAGTATCTCTTTGTATTTATTTTATTCATAAAAGCTCTGTAGAGCCTAACATTATTAATATCAATTGGACAGTACAGCTAAGGAGGAGACACCACCATGACAACCCACAGATAAAAATGAACAGTATATTGGGAATGTTTTCATGATATCATGAGATACACACACACACACACACACACACACACACACACAGTGGGGAATTCCCTATACAGATTTGGAAAGAATGCAATTAGCACATGTAAAATCATAGACAAAAGTAAAAGATATTCTGGAGTCTGTATTTCTCCTAGGCTTTGCAAAAATGAGTTTCCTCCATCAGAAAGTTTTTCTGGGGGTTGACACCTAGAATTTTAATTTCACTTCTATAATAAATAATGGGGATGGAGAGATGGCTAGGTGGTTAAAAGCACTGGCTGCTCTTCCAGAAGATGTGGGTTCGATTCCCAGCACCCACTTGCTGCTCACAACTGTCTGTAGCTCCAGTTCCTGGGGATCTGATGTCTGCACACCAATTCATATAAAATAAATAATTTAAACAATTAAAAATATGATAATGGCCTGTGGCAGACCTGGGTAGCAAACATTTGAAAAGAACAACACTATGTACTTAGGAAGTATCTCTGTCAATCTCTTCACTGAGTAAACCTCCCTTGTGCTCAAGGGGCCAGATTTGCAGACTCCTGTCTCAGTTAAAGTGTTCACAGTGTACACTGGGGCTGGGACTGAAAGAGACTTAAAGATGACAGCATGTGTGAAATGCTAAGCCTACGCTGTAAAGAAAGAAGCAGGGAAATCTTCTATTGGTAGCCACATCCTCTTTGTGCATTGCCTGTTGCTATGGAAATGTAGCTTAATTGGAGGGGTGTGTATCAATCTTGGTGAACAATTTCAGAAACTGTCTCACTGACCCTAAACATCAATTGTGGTATAGACTTTTCTTTTTCATTGTATGTATCCAAACTGGATATATGCCATGTAGTATCCAGTCCTACTGGAAACAGCACTCCTTTACTGTAACTTACTATTTCCTAAGCAAGAGTATTAGTAAGTCTTCATAGCGTCAGTTTTATTACTTCGAGTTTCTACAGTATCAGTGTCATGGGTTGTGTGGAACAACCCTGGCAAAGGAGTAATATGAAAAAATACATTTCAAACACCTCAACACTCAGAATGCCTCAGTTACAGAATACTAGGCAATCTTCGAAACCCAGAAAGACCTGGAGAGAGCGTGGAAAATGAAACCTATCTCATTGGCTGCCTTCCATCACCCTGCATTCTTCAACCACAATGGATTTTTCAGGACTGGAGAGAACGGAAAAAACAACATCTGTCTCTAATAGGCTGCCTTGGGTCACTGGGTGTGTCTTCAATAAGAGTGGATTTTTCAGGCTTGGAGAGACCAGTGAAGAAGGAAAACAACTCACTGTCTGCCATCCATCTCTAGGTATGTATTCAGTCACAGTGGATTTTCCAGTGTGAAAAGAACTTGATTTTCCAGAAATGCATCCAAGTTAAAGGGTGTTGTGGGTGGGAGGATGGGGCTGGTGGTGGTGGTAGGTGTCATTTCTGCATATGCAGGAAATGTTCTTTGGGTAAGGCCAGGGGAGAGACAGCTCCTTTCTGAAATCCCTAGCCTTGGTGGTAAGGGCCCTTAGAAGTTGAGAGGAGGAATGAAAGACAGCATGAGACTCAGGAGGCTAATCCAGGCTTGGAGTCAGAGAGCAAAAATGTTGATTCCTGCTTGCCACAAGTGATGCCCTCACTAGTGTCCTGGAGGACGTGTTTCTTCATCTCTAAGACAACTTAGTGAGCTGAAGATTTTGGGGGTTTGCTTTCAACTCTGTGGGACAGATTAGACCCTACTATCCTAACAGGTTTTGCCCTGTAAGATGTATAGCAGGATAGATCTGTTAGTATAGTAATATACAGTTAAAGGTGGCTACTGCTGCTGAGCACGTCTTGCCTTGCTCTAGAAGTTTCTTCAATGACATGCTCACACATTTTTCTTTTCTCTTCTTCTCTGTCAAATAGATTTTTCTGTTTTACTTGTTGCCTATTCCTGTGTTTCCTGAATGTAAACATTGATGTCCAGTGCTAGACATGCCTCAGTTGAACCATGGGATATTTGTAGTTGGAAAATGTGGAGACTGACAGAGAGAATGCGTTAGCATTCAGATATAGAAGACCAAGACACAGAGGACCATGGCTAGGCATATTTTTTATGAATACTTGAAGTCTTAAAGATATTATACTGGGATCCAGACATTGATTTTGCAGGGTCAAGCCACTGGATGGCGTTGCTGTATTTATTGTCTTTGCGTGTTTTTAAAATCTGTGTCCGTTGTCCAAAGTTGATTTTTTAAATGTGTTCAGCATTTTTATAAAGTGATTTGGTTTTGGCATATTAAAGATGGCTTGAGTCTTGTTTAAAAATAAGTAAAAAACAAACAAACAAAATGTTGGGAGGAGACCTGTGTACAGCCGTTCTCCGATCTTCCTTTTGTTCTCCTGAAGGCACCTATCTTCAAAGGTATGTCCCTAGAAGGAAGGGACCCAAAGCCCGTACTGCCCCTGTAGGCTAGAAAGTAGGAAAGATAAGCTCCAAGTGTTAGGAGTAGCATAGTGAGAGCAAGCCATTTGTAAGCAGCCGGACCTGGCTGGTTTGTGCCTAACGTCCTTGCCATGGAACCTTCAGCCATGGAGCAAATCACTTGCAGTCTAAAATGGTTCCTGATTCCCCATCTATTTAACAGGTGCAGGATGTTGCATCCCAAGGCTGGTACAGGCCCACTGTTCCCACCAACTCTGACCAGGTGCCCTATCCACCCTGGAGCCTCAGGGTTTTCACGTTAGTTAGTAGAACCCCAGCTCTGGGTCCCCAACCTCCTCCTCAAAACTCCACTTCTTTTCCCAGGTGTGTGTCCTGTTTGGAACCTCTCCATGGCATTGTTTGCAACAGGTGCACAGATGGCCTCCATTGTCTCAAGGATAACAGCTTCGATGGCCATGGTCAAAGCTGGAGGGGCAGCCTCTGGCACCATTCTAGCTGGCTCACGGGGTGAGTGCCCATGGAAGGTTCTAGAAGGGGAGTAAGGGATTGTTATGGTGATGCACTATCCTGCCCTTAGCGGCCCACTGTCACACATCCATCATGGCCTTATCTCTGGGAAAGCCTTGAAGGAGACAAGGACTCGGTATGGTCCTGGACTTCAAGTCCCTAAAAACTCAGAGCTATGTGTTTCATGAGGTCTTCCTCTGAGAACTTGGTTCCTGGTGTCTAGAGCTGGGCCTTGTATTCTGTTCTCATGTCCCAAGAATTCACCTTTTTTTTTTCCTTTGCTAAATGTTTGTCCTTCTGGATCTACAGGCCAGGGTGTGGATTTCCACAAGTTTCTCCACTTCTGTGCTTTCTCCACTCTGTAGGGGCCACCCTCCAGTTTTCTTTATGTATTCTTTTCACAGATGTCTTCTCTTTCAACCTCAAACCTCATCCTTTGGTGTCACAGGATGTGTGTTTCTGCAGACAATTTTTATCATTTGCATGGCTCTTAGTTCACAAGGGATGACATTGGTTCATTCCATTGCTCTTCTCACACTAAGAATGAGGCTCTTACTATCCCGTGTCCTTAGAAAAACCCAGGAGACCCTGACTTCTAAATCCATACACCACCTACTGTGCAGCTAGTGTTATTTTCTGTCCCCAGGACAGACACACAGGGGGGACAGGTCCTCTAGACTCCACAGCAAGCATTTCTTGGGGGTTGGGCTTCTGACCCCTTCCTGAACTGTGACCTTCTCCCACCAGGGCTCAACCTGTTAGCCCAGACTGCCCTGGGCTCTGGAGCATCTGCACTTGGATCTTCCTTGGGAGCACTGAAGGTTGGCACCATCCTATCGGCATGCCCTGCCTCTGTCTTGGCTCTTTGTCCCACTGCAGGTGAGTGGCCCTGCATGTCAGACACTCCTCCTTGGGCCACGATTCTTAGTGGAGAAAGATGACAAGGCACAGCTTGCTTTCCATTCAGATTGTCAGAAATACAGATAGTTAATGAATCCACAGGAGTAGATGATATAAGATCAGTACCATATATATGTACATACATTGGTTTTTTGAGACAGGTTTTCTCTGTATTGTTTTGGCGGCTATCCTGGAACTTGCTCTGTACACCAGGCTGGCCTCAAACTCACAGAGATCTGCCAGCCTCTGACTCCAGAGTGTGGGATTAAATGCGTGTGTCACCGATGCCTGTAAGTTCGGTATAATTTTAATTGAGTAGAACTTCATTGCATGTATTCATACTTCAGTTGGTACTCTATGGCATTGTTAAGTTCCTTCAATGTTTCTAATGGCTTCAGCAGATGATAACATTGTCTCCCTCCCCTTTTGGAGACGAGGCTCACTGTGTTCCTAAGGATAGGTTTTGAGGCACTATGTATTTAGTACAGGATAATTGCCCTTAAGTTTGTGGCAATTTTCCTGCCAGATTCCTGAGTGCTAAAATTGTTGGTACAATCCACTATGCCCTCCAATATTATTCCTCACTGACCTGAAGGGATCCTTGTTCCAAGGGCCTGGGTAGGAGGAATTACAGGGCTTTTCCTTCTGCTAGGTACAGGAAATAGAAAGAAGATTCAGAGCTCTGCAAACAATAGGGATGTGGAGGTGATGATGGGAGGAGCCCCAGGCTGAATTTTATCACCCCCATAAGTTGTGACTTGCCCTGTGGCCTTCAGATGAGCTGACATGCTTGCAACCAGTCTTTTTTGGTTTTATTTTGTTGAACCTACCCTGCTATGCGGGGCATAGAAAAGAAATGATAAGAGGAGACACCCTTCCCCAGAGCAGGCTCACAGCAAGCATGCAAAATATTCAAGAACACAGCAAATCCACCTGAGATATATGAGTTCTCGAGAATCCAGCTCCAGTCTCTGCTCAGGGCAGTCAGATCCACCTGTGTCCTCTCTCTCAGGGAAGGACAGACAGGGCTCATTCCTTCCTGTCAGCTGGATGGGCAAGGGACAGTGGCAATCCTCTCACAGGATTTTCTTTTTGTTTCTAGCCAAGGCTGCTGTTGCTGTGCTTGGGGGAGGTAAGTATCTTCAGGGAAGGGTGCCAGTCTACGCCAAGTCCTGACTGTATGCAGGGAGCCAGGAGGATGCCCATGTTGTCCCAGTAGGCCTCCCTGGAGGTGGTGGGGCAAAGGTGAAGATGGGATGGAGGAAGTGTCTAGAAAGAAGGACCTGAAACAAGGAGGGAGGGTAAGCAGCCACAGGGCACATCTTGAGAAGGTCCACACCGCCTTGTGTGAGATTAGTCACCTTAGCCTGGTGAATGCATGCAAACTCCTCTGAGCTCCTAATTGCTTCCTTGAAAAAATGAGCTTTTCAGCTCTTTTATAGATGCTCCAGAGGGCTGCAGAGCTGAGGTAAGCAGAGAGTAGGAATGTACTGGACAATGTATGCAGGGACCATTTCTGTGCTGCTCAGTGGAGACACAGAAGGGCTCTGGGATGCCTCCTCCAGCCCCAGCATCTCCTGTCTCCTGGAGAGTTGTGATCCTCTGGAAACAGTAACTTTCGGCCACTCTCAGATCCTGTCATTAGACCTAGGCAGACACTGAGGCCCCAACCTCACCTATACTGAAGGTCTTGCTGCCCAGGACTCCATCTTCAGGGACAAACATCTATCTCTTCCTGTCTCTGGCTCCTGACTCCTGCCTGGTCGTCTGCTTCAAGCCTGCCTCTTGCCTCATATTCCACATTTGCTCTCTGGGCTTCACTGCCGAGACCTTAGAGGGAAGAGGGAAAGCCCTGACCCAGGCTTCTCTGCTCATTCCCTCCTCCTCCAGACCCCAGCAGGTCCCCATGTTTGACCCAGTATGTTGGGGTTCCCTTTTCACAAATCACCTGACACAGCTGCTCTTCCCACAGCCATGACTGTAGCTGCTGTGCCCCCCGTGTTGAGTGCTGTGGGCTTCACAGGGACAGGAATTGCTGCCTCCTCTCTAGCAGCTAAGATGATGTCCTTGTCAGCCATTGCGAATGGGGGTGGAGTTGCGGCTGGTGGCTTGGTGGCCACTCTGCAGTCAGTGGGTAAGTGTCATGGCAGGAGGACTAGAGGGAGGGCAGCACAGGACCCAGATTCTCAGTTCCAGCTTTACCTTCCCTCTGTGTTTTATCAGGGGAGGTGGAGGAGGGAGGGGAGGATCCCTGACCAGTTTACCTGGGGCTCAAACCTCCACTTGGGTCCCAGCCTTCTTCCCTACAGAGGGGGTGTTTTGCCACTGGATTGATTTCCCCTAGAATTCCTGCAGGGAACAGTTCCTTGTGAAAGTAACTGTGCTAGACACAGATCCTGGAGAGTTTTGAAATAAGTCTGATATTGTGAGACCTGTACCTCAGGCCATCCTGAGTGACCCTGCCAACTATGACCCTCTCTGAACCCATACTTTCACCCCATTTCATGTATTTCATCCTTTATTTCTTCCACAGGAGCCGCTGGACTGTCGATGTCATCCAAATTACTCTTGAGCTCTGCAGGGTCTTCTCTCATGGCCCGTATGATTGGCATTTGAGATTCCCAGTCCTTCTCTGCTCCAGGAGAGGACCCGGAGGTAGAGGCTACACTTTCCAGTTTCATCACCCAAGTGAAGTTAATCCCAGGGAAGAGTCTGCCAAGGCCAAGTGCTCAATTGGAAATAAGAAATAAAACCAATTTGTTGCCAGCCTTATTGTTCCCTTAACATCATGTGTGCTGTTTGCAGGGTGACGGCTGCTCAGAACTCTATCTCTCTGATTCTCACGTTTGGGTGGGTTAGGCTCGCCTCCTTCTCCCACATATTGTCACAGAGACACATGGCGAAGGTGAGTGCTCAGGTGGAATAGATGAAAAGTGAAAAACAGAAGCTACCCTCTGCCCTGATAACTCTGCCAAGGTCACCTCCTGAGTGGCTCCTACCTAGGTGGGGAGTTGACCTCAATGACCTCTAAGATCATGGCCATGTGGGGTTGGCTCAGCCCCTGTGAGGACTTTTAGCATGGCTTCTGCTGTGTCCTGCTCATCTCAAAGCCACGGCTTGGTTTGCATTCCCACCACCCTCCCCACTGTGTATCCAGGGATTATTTCTGGTGGCCTGAATTCGAACATTTTGTCTCAGCTAGGTCACCAGAGAAAACCCACACCTTGCGTATTCTCTCAGTCCTGGAGCCCACTAAAGCAAACTTAGTTTCCCCCTTGGTATGACCAGCCCAACCCTCCTCCATACTGGAGGGTGGGGAGGTTCACTGGTCTCACTTGGTCTCAGAAAGCAATAGTGACTTCTACCTTGGGTTCCCACTTCCTTCCATACAACCAGGGTGACTGTAGTTATGGGACTCCAGGGGGAATTTCCCACAGCAGAGGAAGTCCTCATTCTCCCTGAAAAGGAGGCATCCCCTTCCCAGTGTCGCCTAAGCCAAAGTAGTTCCAGTCTCCATTTCCTGATTCATGTCTGCTTTTCAGGCAGTGGTATGTATAATTAGAAGATGCAAAACCACCATTCTCTGGAAAATGTCAGGCCCTCCTTAAACTCCTAGAGCCATTTTTTATACCCACCAGTGACCTGGGATGACTGTCAACAGCTCCTGGACACCCTCTTCATGGCCAAAGGGAGGGGCAGACTGGAGCATGCAGTAGATAAACCACCCTTGGGCCTGACAGAGGATCACTGCCAGTCAGGGTAGTCCAGTTAGAGGGGGTTTTCTCTCAGTCTGACCTGACTGGGAGTCCTACACTGCCCAAGATAAGGAGCCTCTGAAGAGTTTTTGTCAGGCCATTGTTTCATGTATTGAAGGAAGCTGCTAGAAACATTTCTAAGCTGTCTAAGGTGATAGAGGTAATAAAAGAGTCCCAGGCATCACCTATTGGGTCCCAAAGTGCTTGTGTGACCCTCACCTGATGTTCACACCCATAGACTCAGAAAGAACAGTAATGCAGTAGGAACAGTCAGCCTCAGATAATGGAAAGAAACCTCCCAAGTCAGAATGGTTTGAGAATATGAATGTGTTCCAATTGAAGAAGATTGATCACAAGGTTTCCCATAATTATGACCATGTAGGTAAAAAATGCAAATAAAAAAAGGGATTGACCTGAGCAGTAGCTGCAGTGTTCAGGGAGACATATAGAAGGGATTTCAGAGGGGAAGTCAGAGACACCAGGAAAGCAAACGGGACAAGGGTGCCCTGTCCTGTGTAAATATTTGCAAATGGGGGAGGTGTCCTAGCTGAAGAATTGTCACCCAGGACAAGGTCAGTGCCCAATCTGTCCACTTATTGATCCTGTTTCTCTTGGTTGGCACCTACAGCTATGCTAGTAAAAAATATTATGCATACAGTTTTTTATCTATGTACATGCGTGTACCCCAGGAGAAGGCACCAGATCTCATTAGAGATGGCTGTGAACCACCATGTGGTTGCTGGGAATTGAACTCAGGACCTCTGGAAGAACATGCAGTGTTCTTAACCTCTGAGCCATCTCTCCAGTGCTAGTAAAAAATAAAAATATTAAATAATTGAGTTTGGGTCAGGAACCATTTTCAACACCACATACCCTGATGAGACCCCTTTGAAGGAGGATTCCAGAGAGGTGGGTAGTCTATGCTAGAATATGCTACCATCAGCCACTTCTAGGCCAACCCCACACTTGATTCTGTAAAACTTCAGCCAGCAATCAATTCAGTTTGCTGCCAGACAGTTACCCAACAGAGGCTCTTCTTGATTGCTTGGAAGTGACTGATGCAGTCCAGCCCATCAGATCTGACCTAACCCATGTCCACACGCAACATTATATCTCTGTGTGTGCTCCCGCGATAGACTTCTGTATGCATTACCGTGTCCCATCCATTTGTCCCTCCTTCATGGAGTCTTCCAGATCCCCTGGTCTCTAGCTGTTTGTGTGTCATTGTGGACTCTGCCCAGCACTGCCTGTTGCATCCCATGGGCAATGACTACCACCCTTTGGTGAGGTCTGGACGGGGTACCAAGACATAAGGTAGGAATTTCAGATTCCTTTTCAACTTTGTAGACATTGCACAGTGGTGACCTTTTTTTATTCTATCTCCTTCCAGAGGCGTCAGGGCAGTAGCTTAGGCCAGGGCATCCCTGGTACAGTGTGGCAGCTTTTTGCTGGTCTTAGCTCTGCACATCCAGAATCATAGATGGAGATGGACCAAGAGCTCTGGGGTCCATGTTCTTGGCCCTCTCACCTCAGCTCCAGGTCAGGAACCTCCCTTAGCAGAACCTATAATCAGGAGCAAATAAGCTTCATAAAGACCAGGAAAAATAAAAACCAAACCTTACCATACAAACCATCTCCAGTGACGCAGGGGTCTCCTAAAGCCTTCTACCTACTGACTGTGCTGGCCAACATGTCACCTCCCTTTGTTCTCCCGCCTGAGTCTGTTATAGGAAACCTAAAGACTTCACACTCCCAGTCCACAAGTCCCTTCAAAGAGTCACCAGAAGCAAAGGTAAGAGCCCCAGCACAAGACCTCTATGTTTTCATCTTTCTCTGACCTCATTGAGTGATTTGGACGATCATCTTTGTGTCTACTGTCTCCTCCTGGTTTTCCTGATCGGTCCAACTGTCAATTGCTTCCTCAACAGATGCCCCAATAGCTGCCCCCACAGAGCCCAGGATGATGTTGGCTGACGTAGAGAGTCCTACGACACCTGGGAAAGAAACAGTGCAGTGACGCCCAGTGGTCTGAGGCTTAGAGATGCCCCATTGCCTTTTTGTCTGAACCCTAGGGCTCTGCGTTAGACAGAGTTATTCAAAGAGGACCAGAAGTATAAGACAGAGTTAAGTAAACTGAGATACAGGAGGGGAGATCTCCAGTGAGCTATGTCCCTCTACATAGCAGGACAGAGGGGGACACACTGAACAAGGACACCATGTAGGGAAGATTCAGAGCCCAGGTAACATGCATCTTGGACCGGGGCTCGTTCCTGCTTCTGCCATGCAGTGCCCCTTCTGTCTGCACCACACCCCAACCGCACTCACAATGAATCAGATAGTAGCGACAGAACTAGAATAAACAGGTCCTATAAAAGGTGGCAGTGTAGGGAGAGGAAGGGAGATGCCTTCCTTGGCTGGGTCTCCACTCATCTTGCCTGGACTGACACTTACCCACAGACTGCAGTGTGGCTACCAGGCTTCCTGCTGCAACTCCACCCCCATTGGCGATTGCTGCGGCTGACATCATCTTGGCTGCTATGGATCCTGCTGCAATTCCTGCCCCAGTGAAGCCCAGAGCACCCAGGGCTATGGGAGCAGCAATCAGAGCCCCAGCTCTGGGGAGAGGAGTCAGTGGTATGGGCTCAGAGGTAGACCCACTCAACAGTTTCCGGAATGTTCGAAAGGGGGGGTCTTTGTCTTCTGAGCATGAAGAAAAGGAGTCCTGAGGATAGAGCAGGGAGCCAGGTGCAGGCCAAGTGGTCTGTGGAGAATCTCACAGAGCCATGGTTTACCAATGTGTGTGACACTAGGGAAGTCATCACCCTTCACCGGGCTTCAGGCTTGTGAGGGGTTAATTAACTTCCCCATACAGTTTTGAGTAGCTACCCCTTCTATCCGTCAATGAATTTTCCATCATGTATAAGGCTGTAGGAAATGTCAGGCAGGAAATCTTAAGCTGCTCTGCAAACCTCAAGCACAGCTCTGACCCTGGCCCTTCACCCAGGCAGCTCCAGAATCCATCAGAAGGCAAGATCTGAGTCAGAGCTCTCAGCCAAGAACAAAGCTCCCAAGGCCTCCCAGCAGGTGCAAGAAACATACCTCCTCCTATTGCAGCACTGACGATAGTTCCTAGGGAGAGATGGGGAGGGTAGAAGAGATTAATGTTGGCTGATGTCAGTGAGTTCTTGGTGGGTTTGTGTCAGGGAGCCCAGTTCCCAGCCCACACCAGTGCTGAGGGTTACTAACTCTTCTTCATGGTGAGATGTGTTGGTAGCAGGTTATGTTAGGAAGTGACTTAAATCTGAGAAAAGTAGGAGGGACTCTTGCTACTGAACCAATAGGAACACATTCTCCCCTTGCAATGAGTCAGAGTCCTGGTGGAGGTTTGAAGGCAATAAGGAAGTAGACACCTGTTCTCCTCTCATCTGCTGATGTCTGAGTAGATGGTTTCCCTTAGATTGGTTTCTATCCCGACTGACCCTTAACACACACACACACACACACACACACACACACACACACACACACACACAGGCACAGGCAGAGAAATACAGAGATGGGGTGACAGTTATTTGCTGCTAAATCAAAATTGAGAGGAACAACACATATATACCAACAGTAGCAAGAAAAATGTGGACATAAAATTCATTTCTCTCACCTGCAAGAGGATGAGAGTTTATTGTGGATCTATGGCTGGATAATCACATAGGGCCACCCAAAATGTTGTGTTCCTTCATAGTATCAGTTTCATGAGCTTTTTGTATAACAGAACAGTGAAAGTCATAAATCAAGGCACTTCAAATACATGTATTAGTGCAGACATTAAGTGTAAAGGCAATGGGGGAGCCTCTGCCATAGGCCTCAGGTACTTAATGATGGTGTTCCTCCTCTTTTGCATGGTGGGAGCTGTGGGGACATCAGACCTTGAACAGAAACCCACTTCCCCTTCAGCCTGGGAGCAGGCAGCTGTGAGATAATGTTTACTGAAAACAATTTAGTGCTATAAAGCTCTTGATAGGGCTCAGATAAGGGCTTGCACTGAAACACCATGACTTTGATTCCCCCTATGGCTAGATGTTCCTTCCTGCTCCCTGCGGTGTCTCCCCGATTCTGGGGCCAATTCTGGGGCCGGAGATTAAACCACCAGCCAGGAGGGTGAGAAGTCTGGGAAGAATTGTATGTAGACGGATGGCAGAAGTCCTTAAAAAGGGAAGCGTTTTTTCTTGGCGGTCTCCTCCTAAGATGACTTGGGAAGCATAAAGTTTTCAAAAAGCAACCGACCGGTCTCTGTGTCATCTATCCCGACCACCTTGCTACATTCTCGGATACAGGCTGCACAGCAGGTACGACAGGGAGCCTGGTGTTTGTATGTTCCAAAGGATTTACCTAATGGTCTCAAAGATGTTAGGTTAGGTACGGATGGGGACAGTGAGTGGCTATTATAAGGGCTAACAATCTCCCAAGAGAATTTGGCTCTTGACTTGGAACATTTGATACTAAACTTGATCTTAGCCAAAAGGCTAAGAAGCCATGACTTGGAACATTCGAACTTCTCCACAATCATTAACATTCTAAAAAGTTAATCATGGATGGAGAGAAGGCTCATTGGTTCAGAGCATTGACTGTTCTTCCAAAGTACCCACATCCAGGAGCATGTCCTTCCACCTCTGTCCCATGTAACATATGCCACCCCCAACCCATTCTGACTACATGTGCATGCTACTTTGTAAATGGCTCCTTCTGTTTATAACTGACTGTTTAGATCTATATGGTGTTTCCTTGACAACATGTTTATTGAGGCATAAATAAGGTAAGATATCCCACTCTCAGAACAAGCTTCTGTAAATTTGGATTTATTTGCTTATGCAAATACTGTCTCAGATCTAGAAACCTCCATAACTTCCCTTCTCTAAATTGTCTCATCTTTCCTGTTAGTCATTGGTAAAAGGTTCAGGCATTACTCTGGCCTGCCCTGTTACCTGGCAGGATGCACTCAGGCAGCGCTCTGGCCAGCCCAGAGTTCCGTGAGAACCAGGCAGGTGCAAAGGACCCCTTTAAGGGACTGACCCCTGCCCGTTTACTCTCTCCTACTCCTCTTCCTCTGCTCTTGCTCTTACTCTCTCTCTCTCTCTTATCTCTCTCTGCTCCCCTTTTCCCACCCCGTCCACCAATAAACTCCACGTGGGATCGTTGAGTCGCAGTCTGTGTCTCCTTACTGGATAAACCTAAACGTTTTAACAACAATTGGCTCCCAGCCCATTCCATCTCTAGACACTTGCCCTTCTAGAACGCCTGTGTTTAACACCCGAAGTTCTGCCCTGTGGACATTTGCTAGCTCACTGTCCCAGCCTCTCCTTTAAGGGTATGAATTCTTTTTTTTGTTTGTTTTGTTTTGTTTTGTTTTGTTTTTTGTTTTTTCAGACAAGGTTTCTCTGTATTATTTTGGAGGCTGTCCTGGAACTTGCTCTGAAGACCAGGCTGGCCTCCAACTCACAGAGATCCGCCTGCCTCTGCCTCCCAAGTACTGGGATTAAAGGTGTACACTACCAACGCCTGGCTAAGGTGTGAATTCTAATACTGGCTTCTGTAAGTTACATAACCTGAAATGCTGACGTCGCTGTGCACCAGTATTTTCTTGTTATATGATCCTATAGATGAATCTGCAGCCCAGTGCTCCTGTTCTCCAGAAACAGGGTAGATTTCTGGCTTAGTCAGGGTTCCTATTGCCATGATGAAAAACCATGACCAAAAGTCACTTGGAGAGGAAAGGGTTTATTTGGCTTACAATTCCACATCACTCTGCATCAGCAAAGGAAGTCAGGACAGGAACTCACACAGGGCAGGAGCCTCAAGGCAGGAGCTGATGCAGAGGCCATGGAGGGTGCGTCTTGCTGACTTGCTCTTTTTAACTATAGACCCACAGTAGAATGGTCACTAATAGCCATGCAACAGAATCAATATGGGGCTGTCTTGAAATCTCCTCTGCCAGTGAAATTAATTCAAAGCTCTTTGGTTTTGGCTTCGGGAATACCCCAGGACAAGGTGGAGGGAGCAGTTACATACTTTGACAAAATATCACAAGAATGGTCTCTAGACCAGTTCTTAATATTTTTCTCCTATACAACTTCTTGGGCTCTTCTCCATTATCCATTATCCACATGCTCTCAACACTACTGTCTCTCAGGTTCCTCTGGGAATAGCCCACCAGACCCACTTAAATCATTCAAGAACTTTCCTAGTCCAGAGTCCCAATGTTTTCCACATTCCTCCCAAGACAGCATGACTGAGCCTGTCATAGCAATAGCTCACTTCCGTATTAGTTACTTTGCTATTGCTGTGAAGAAACTCTATTGCCAAGGCAACTAATAGAAGATAGAGTTTATCAGGATTATAGTTTCAGAGGTAAGTCCATGACCATCATGACCAGGAACATATCAGCAGGCAGGAGGGCATACAGTTATGCAGACAAACATGCAGGCAGGTATGCAGGCAGGCAAGTAAGCAGGCAGATATGCAGGTAGGCATGTAGGCAGGAGTGCAAGAAGGTATGCAGGCAGGGAAGCTGGAAGATATGCAGGTAGACATGGTACTTGAGCAGCAGCTGAGAGCTGAAGTCAGATTAACAAGCAGGAGTTAGAGAAAGAGAAGTAACTTGACCAGCTATGTGCTTTTGAAACTTCAAAGCCCATCCCCAGTGACAAGACCTCCTTCAGCAAGACCACACCTCCTAACCCTTCCCAAACAGTTCCACCATCTGGGAACCAAACATTCAAATGTATGAGCATGTGGGGGCCATTCTCATCCAAATCACCACACTTACACTCTCCTACAAGCCTGTGGGAGACCTTTGCTCATCTATTCTTAACACGACTTAGCTTTGTCATCAAAGGCAGCTGCTGTTGGCTGGAAGTGTAGCTCAACACTGGAGCTCTTTTCTAGCCCTGGTGAGATCTTGGGGGTTCCATCTCCAGTATGAAACAAAATCAAACAAACAGCAAGCCCACATTTAGTGATAAGTTAAAATTGAAGTGATTACTCAAGTGACATTTACTTCTACTGAGATTAAACAGTTTATTGGGTTTATTCTGAACTTACTTTGTGAATTATTTTCTTGTTTCCTTTTTTTTTTTTTTTTTTTTTTTTGGTTTTCAAGACAGGGTTTCTCTGGTTGTCCTAGAACTGGAACTCACTCTGTAGAGCAGATCTGACTGCCTTTGCCTCCTGAGTGCTGGGATTGAAGGCATGTGGCACCACCACCTGACTCTTATGCTTTTTGAAAAATGGGTATGATTTCTCTTTGTACGTGCTCAAGGAGATGAGAGAGGTGTCAGCTCCCTGAAGCTGGAGATTTAGGCAGTTGTGAGCCACCAGACTCCCGTGGGTGCAGGGAATTGAAGTCAGATCTTCTGCAAAAGGACTCTAACATGTGTCCTTAACCACTGAGCACTTTCTCCAGCCCGTGTTCTCTTATTCCTGAACCTGTTTTTATTGACATTGTTTTCATTGTGGGCTGCAGGGATGGTTAGTGTGTGACAGCACTTGCTCATCTAGAGACCCTGAATGCCCGGGGCAGGCCATTCACAACTTCTTATAACTCCTGCTTCAGGGGACCTAGTAACCACTCCTGTCCTCTTCACCCACTGTCACACATGTGGCACTTACATACATGTACATAGAAGTAAACATTTAAAAACTGAGATATTTTTCTGTGTTAATCATACATAAATGATATTACTCCAATCACATGTGTAGAACAAATTTATTTTCCAGTTGTCATTGTCTATTTTTGCTGTGGTGGTTTTGTTTGTTTTCAGTCAGAGTCTTGCTATGTAACCCAGGCTAGCCTAAGACTTGAGATAAGCCCATATCAACCTTGTGTGTGCTGAGACTATAGGTGTGTGCCACAATGCCCAACCTGGTTTATTTTGTTGTTATTTTGGTATTGGTTTATTCTTACCCAGAAAAAGTTATAGTATCCACTCAAAATGACCAAGATTTTACGTTCTGTTTCTAATTTAAAAAAAAAACTGCCCCTGCTGTCTACAACATACATCACCACTACTATTTTCTTTAAAGTATTCTAAGTGGTAGTCTTTAATGTTATCTTGGTCATCTGTTTGTTACATATTGAATATTTTACATAGATTTTTATGTCTCAGTCAGACAATTATTCCAATATCATTTATTAAATGATCTTTATCATTGATTGATATTCCATTTTCCTGCTCAAAACTCATGTACTGGTGTGTGTGTATACATATATGTGTGTAA